GCTTTTCTGCATCTCTTCTTAAAACACATCCAGGTTCAGGAGCTCGATCCTACCCTTTTTGCTAGTGGGACCTCGTCCCCTGTGTACCTGCACAGACCCACCTTTTTTTCCTTTCTTTTTCTGTTGTTTCTTTTTTTTGTTTCTTTTCTTTATTTCTTTTCTTTGTTTCTTTTTTTTGTGTCTTTTCTTTATTTCTTTTCTTTCTTTTTTTTTTGTTTCTTTGTTTCTTTTTTTTGGTTTCTTTTTCTGTTTTTGTTCTTTTTTTTCTCCCGAAAGTTTAGTCGCCCGATTTAACAGAGGGTGTGGTGATCTAAGCGAAGAATAGATGGATTATTATATAGGTCTAGATGGGATTTCTTTACTTATTTTTATTTTTTCCCCTAAAGTTTGGTCGCCCGATTTAACAGGGGGTGTGATGATCTAAGCGAAGAAGAGATGTCATAAGAGAAGGGTGCCGATTGGAATGTACAGGGGCAAGCGGTAACTAAGAAAGAAAGAGGAGGGGGGGGGGGGGGGTAAGTGGATAGGGTTTAAGTGAAAATGAAAATAAGAAGTGGCAAGGGTACCATGACGCGAAAGGGAAGGGTTGTCTGACAGTGTGTGCATATACTATCTTAGTATACATCAGGGTTCGATCCTATGACCTGTTGAGCAAACATTACAGGGGGGGGTACCACATTGGGACCAAATGGGCTCAGTGATTCTCTCGGCATAGTCCCAAAGTGGCAAGAAAAAACAATAGGTAAGTTCAAAGAAAATGAAAAGAAAATAAACAGCAAATTAAAAATTAAAAAAAAAAAGAGAAAAAAGAGAAGAAGATTGGGGAAAAGTCAGCAACAGCAGCCAGAGAGCTTCGGGGAGTCTGTAGTGAAAGACTCGCAGGCTTTCAGCCTGTAAGCTAAGCTGTTTTTTTTTTTTTTTTTTTTTTTTTTTGAGAAACAACCCGAGCTGATGCTAGGGGTGCCTGTAAGCTAAACTGACTCGCAGGCTTTCAGCCTGTAAGCTAAACTGTTTTTTTTTTTTGAGAAACAACCCGAGCTGATGCTAGGGGTGCCTGTAAGCTAAAAACTGGATGATGCATCCAGGTGTTTCTGCCGGGGGCCGTGGTGCCACTAGCAAAGGGGATAGGATAGAAATCCTGAACCTGGCCATGTTTTATGCAGAGATACAGAAAAGCAGTTCGATCTCGATTTCCTGCTCCTGTCCTCGAACACGTCCAGATTCAGGCATTCAATCCGACGCTAATTGCTAATGGGACCATGGCCCGGGAGTAATGAAGAGGGGTCCCCGGCCTTCTAATTTGTTTTTCTTTTTGTTTTTTTTTTTAGCCCTTCGACGGAGCGAAGGGCCGTTAAAAATTGTTATAAGCTGCTCAGTGTGCTCAGCCCACGGTATTCTTTAGTAAAAGGCGAAAGAATAGTACGCCAAGTGAGCTGGGCACGCAGCTGAATGGCCTCTAATTTGCAAGTATTTAATGGAACTCGAATTTTGAAAGAAGGGGAAGAGGGGAAGAGAAGGGGAAAAGTCAACCACCTCATCTCGTTGACTTTTTTCGTTCATGCAGGGGCGAGGTCCAACTAGCAGCGACGATTGGATTGAATCTGGACGTGTTTGTGAAGAGGTGCAGAAAACTACGGCTGATCTCCTTTCTGCTCCAGGGGCGTGGTCCCACTAGCAAAGAGGATCGGATCGAATGTCTGAATCTGGACGTTTTTGTGGAGAGGTGCAGGAAATCGAGATTGAGCTGCTTTTCTGTATCTCCGCTTAAAACGCGCCCAGATTCAGGAGGTTAATCCTATCCTCTTTGCTGCTAGTGGGAGCTCGGCCCAGGCAACTCCCATGCGCGTGCCCTCCTTGAGTGTTCTTGGGGCACCCCTCTTGAAATTCCACAACCAAATTAGGAAAAATAAATAAGAAATTAGGAAAAATAAATACAGACGAACGGGAATCGACTACCGTGGGCGTGGTCCCACTAGCAAAGAGGATCGGATCGAATGCCTGAATCTGGACGAATTTATGGAGATGTGCAGGAAATCGAGATTGAACTGCTTTTCTGCATCTCTGCCTAAAACACATCCAGATTCAGGCGCTCGATCCTATCCTTTTTGCTAGTGGGATAGGATTAACACCTCCGCTCCGCAATACAGACGAAGGTAAAGAATTTCGAATGTGACCCTGAGGCAAAACGTGTTCATTTTATTTTTCTGCATAACATTTTTTTGCCATTTTTTTAGTTTTTTCTTCTTTTTTTTGCTGGGACCTTCCCTGGTCCTTGCACGGCCGGGCCGCCCGGGGAAACAGGGTGACGCGGGGCGGTCAGTCATTCCGAAAAGTTAGGCGATTCTTTCGCACGGCGGCCCTGGGGCCAAGTCCCACTGGCCGCGTTGAGTTTCCTCGACGCCTGAATCTGGGCGTGTTTGTGGAGATGTGCGGTTGAGGATACTCAACGCCATTTCTGCACATATCCTCATTAACGTCCAGATTCAGGCGTTGGGGAAACTCAACGCTGCCAGTGGGACTTGGCCCCTGGGCACGGATACATTTGTGGTTTAACGTTTCATCTTTGGAGTGTCTTCTTGGTTACTCTATCGACGGGCGTACTTGTGTACTTGTGCTTTTTTTTTTTTTTTTTTTTTTTTACTTGTGTGCTTTACTGTGCATGCTTTATTATTCATATCTCCACATCCACTTGGCCCACTGCTTGCCATGTTATTTTTGTTCAGAATTTTCATTCAACAAATTTTATTCAATGTAGAAACAAAAAGAATGCTGCGCGCCAACGCTCACATCGCCATCCCGATGCGATGCCATCCGATCCGATCCGATCCGATCGAATCAGCCAACGATGATTTAAAAAAATCGATCGATCGACCGCTCGATAAACGATGATTAATCGATCGATCGAACGATGATTAATCGATGGATGATGGATGCCATCCCGATCAAAATTTTTATTCAGATGGGATGAGCACTGAGAAAAAAAGGGGCGAGTTCCAAAGACGACTGGACCAGGCGCCTGAATCTGGTCGAATTTCTAAGTAGAAATACAGAAGCAGATCATTCGCGATTTTCTGCACCTCTCCGCAAACACGTCCACATTCGGGCGTTTAATCCTTCTTTGCTACCGTCTACCCTCGAATAGAACGCCCGATCATTATAGCTGGATTTGGGGCGACTTTCAGTCCAGCTATTCGAGTGAAGACAGTAGTGGGACCTCGCCCCCGGGCCGTGGTCCCACTAGCAAAGGGGATAGGATAGAAATCCTGAATCTGGCTATGTTTTATGCAGAGATACAGAACACCAATTCTATCTCGATTTCCTGCTGCTGTCCTCAAACACGTCCAGATTCAGGCATTCAATCTTATGATCTTTGCTAATGGGACCACAGCCCCGGTCATCCACAATGACAGCTATCCGTCGCGTGTCAGGACCCAAAAAAAAAAAAAAAAAAAACGAGAGGGGGGGGGGGGGGGGGGGGGAACGCATGACTATGCCACAATGTTTCGTCGGACTTTCACCAACTCATGAGGAGGTTGGGGTGCACCAAAAAAGGACCGACGGAGACAAGAAGAAACATGAGAGAGAGAGAGAGAGAGAGAGAGAGAGAGAGAGAGAGAGAGAGAGAGAGAGAGAGAGAGAGAGAGAGAGAGAGAGAGACGCTCTTCGAGAAAGGGCGGAGGAAAAGAAGAAAGGGATCCTTAGGGAAGAGAGGGAAAAGTGAGAACGGGCTATCGTTAGAAGAGAGAAAAAAAACAGGAGGTATGCGTAGAAGAAATCATATTAATAGATGTATCAGCTCCTCGATCTCCGATGGATCTATCTCCTTCCTCCTGTCCTCAGAGGGGACATCCTACTCGTTCAGAGAAAACCAAGAGAGGAAAACGTGTGAAAGCGCTCCTTCGAAGAGAGAGTCAATCTCGCCTGTCATATTCATTTGCCTAGTAGCAAACATTTGTCATCACAAATACACACAAACGCACACAGAGAGACAGAGAAACACACACACACACACACACACACACA